ACCAAGCTGTCAAACAAGTGCTGATGTTGATGCTCTTAAAGCACTTATGAGATTTAATATTCGAACTGAAATACGGTAAATTAGAAATTTCCAGATTGTCGCATAGTGCTTGCTCTATATCCATCCATGTTTCATCTAAGTTGAGTTCACTAGGTTTAAGCCATTTAGAAATATACTGTAACTTATTTGCTAAGAAATAATGATGGAAATTAGGTAAATCTAGTCCACCCCTGTCTTTAGTTTTCTGTAAAGTTTTCAGGCTGATTCGAGAGGGTTTGTTTTTCCAGAGAAATTGAGAAATGTGAGATTCTAGTGATCTAAACCACGTATATGGAGGTTTCGTAGGAATCATGGAAAACAAGTAATTAATTTTTGGCAAAATCATCATTTTTATTGTGGCAATTCTACCCATGAGTGAGATGGGTAGAGATTTCCATCGAGCAAGATCGTCTTCTATGGTCTTCAGTAGTTTAGTATAATTTAACTTTATTAAATCTGACAGTCTGGATGAGATGTTTATGCCAAGATATCTTATATTTCCTGATTGTAATGCTATACTGGATGGCCCTTGAAACCTACAGTTAATCGGTAGAACTGTGCTCTTTGACCAGTTAATAGAATAATCGGACAAAGATGAAAACTTATTAATTAATGTAATTGTTTCAGAGAAAGATGTACGTGAGTTCTGAAGGAAAAATAAAACATCGTCGGCATAAAGACTTATCTTATGTTCATTCTTTAAAGACCAAATACCTTTAATATGCTGATTTTGCCTGATTGCCATTGCTAAAGGTTCTATAAAGATGGCAAAAAGTGATGGGGAAAGAGGGCATCCCTGTCTAGTGCCTCTCTGCAGACTGAAACTAGGAGAGGTTTGATCATTTGTCCTAACTCTTGCATTAGGGATAAAAAACTGCATAAAAAACTGTTTTTAAATTCTCTCTTAAAACCCTTTTTTCTTTAGCTTTGGAATGTCCCGTATTACGCCCCTTTTCACATGTCCCCAGAATGTGTATGTGAAGTTTCAGCTCAAAATATCCAACAGATCATTTTTTTCAAATTTGTCTTTTTTTGGGTCTCAGAAAAACGCGCTGTCTGAGTGTGTGCCCTTTAAATGCAAATAAGCTGCTGCTGCCAGCAGAGGGGGCGGAGTTTCATGAGCTCTCGCTCACTCATGGCCGTAAGAACTGACTATGATATCTATGGATATTTAACGTAATTAGCTAACCTAACTAGTTCACTTTGTTATTGGTGACATTTTGACCATAATGGCAATAATTAAGAAGTTCCAATCAACTACAGATGTTACAAGTCTGCACGAAGAGGACATGTGTGTGTGTGTGTTCCCTTAATGGATGGCGAGGAGGAGAGTTTGATTGGCCAAAGAGGCTTCAGGGAGGGATTACAGATGGAGAACTGCAGAGATTAGCGAGTCTTCGATTAGCGAGTCCTATACAAATAAATCAAACACCCCAGTTCAGGAGGGTTTCAAGAAAATCCTCCTCGCTTATCCAAACACACACTCCAGTAAATTCAGTTATCAGACTGGAGCTGATGAGAGCTTTCTGGCAGCAAACACGCTAGATGGGTTTGGGTCGCACAGGGATAAAGTCCTCTGTGTGTTCAATGGAATAAACTGCTGGATCTGTAATGCTGTGGGCATACACTCTTCTGCTGGAGACACATGGCATCGTAGACAGCCCATTCTCACCCCCAAGGCGTCACTTAACTGACGCCTTGGGAAGCATTTGGACATGCTTCAATATCTGACGCTTTAGGCGCCCTTTAGCGTCAGTTAGATGACGCCCTAGGATCACGTGTACCCTACCCCCACCCCACACCTAAACCTAACCGCGTCCTCTAACTGACGCTTTCCTTTAGCGTCAGTTAGATGACGCCGTAGGATCGCGTCATGTAAGTGACGCTAAAGGGCGCCTAAAACGTCAAATATTGAAGCATGGTCAAAGGTGACGCCTTGGGGTGAGAATGCGTTGTCGTAGATATCAACAGATAAAAAAAAAATCAAAACCTGACACCTTCTGCTAGAAATCTTATAAAGGGCCATGGATGGATCTTCCATTAGGACAACGGTCCAAAACAAACGATCAAAATCAACACAAAAATGTGTTACAGAGCACAAGCTTTTGCCTTGACCGCCCCAGTCCCTGAGGAGGAGAACCAGCACGGGACTGGGAATCTGCAGGATCTGGAGAGAGTGTGTGTGGAGGAATGTCTCTGATCTCAGGTCAGGTGTTCTCCAAACTCATCCTGCATTACAGGAGAGACTCATAGCTGGTATCTTGGCAAAAGGAGATTGCAAAAACTATTTAAAGGGTTAGTTCACCCAAAAATGAAGATTAAGTCATTAATTACTCACCCCCAATCTGTTCAAACCCCGTAAGACCTTCGTTCATCCTCGGAACACAAATGAAGATATTTTTGATTAAATTTGAGAGCTGGATCACTCTTCCATAGACTTCCTAAGGGACTAGCACTTGACGGCCCATAAAGTCATTAAATAAAATGTTTAAATATTCCATGTGCCTACAGCGGCTCAATTATAAGTTTATCAAGTGACGAGAATACTTTTTGTGCGAAAAAAACATAAATAACGACTTTATTCGACTATTCCATTATTATGGGCCTTGAGACAAGAATTGAAGAGATTTCCAGAACGCATGCGCGAGAACTGAGACGACGACGTTCTTCTTCGACTACTTCTTGTTACCGGCTGCTCACCGCTTAGGAGTTTTACCGCCCCCTACCGTATAAGATGACGTGCTGATATAGCTGGAAGCGCAAAACTTTCTGTTTACAAGCAGAGGAAGACGCGCGCTGTACATACGCGTTTCAATTACCGTATTTTCCGCACTATAAGGCGCACTTAAAAGCCGTTAATCTTCTCAAATACGACAGTGTTGTGCGCCTTACAATCCGGAGCGCCTAATATATGGATCATCATCTTATACGGTAGGGGGCGGTAATACTAGCGGTGAGCAGCCGGTAACAAGAAGTAGTCGAAGAAGAACGTCGTCGTCTCAGTTCTCGCGCATGCATTCTGGAAATCTCTTCAATTCTTGTCTCAAGGCCCATAATAATGGAAAAGTCGAATAAAGTCGTTATTTGTGTTTTTTTTTTCGCACAAAAAGTATTCTCGTCACTTGATAAACTTATAATTGAGCCGCTGTAGGCACATGGAATATTCGAACATATTATTTAATGACTTTACGGGCCGTCAAGTGCTAGTCCCTTAGGAAGCCTATGGAGGAGTGATCCAGCTCTCAAATTTAATCAAAAATATTTTCATCTGTGTTCCGAAGATGAACGAAGGTCTTACGGGGTTGGTACAGCATGGGGGTGAGTAATTAATGACTTAATTTTCATTTTTGGGTGAACTAACCCTTTAATAAAAGGGTGCCAATAATTGTGGTTGCCAATGTGTTTTGAGGAAAAACATCTTTTTCATAATGTGTGTGTGTGTGTGTGTGTGAGTGAGAGAGAATGTGACTGTGCGAGTGTGTGTCTGTGAGAGAGTGTGCATGAGAGAGAGTGCGTGTGTGTGTGTGTGTGTCACTGGACAGATTTCAGGAAGCCTCCTATAACGCAGGGAGACTCTGAGGATAAAGCTCCACTTGGAATTTGAACATAATTTTAATATGAATCTCGTCATTCACTTCTCATGGGCTTTGACCGGGTTTCAGATCCATCAATCGCACATTCAGCACAATGAAGTCACATAATTTTCAACTCAAAATAAACAGATTAATTACTCAATTCACTGACAAAAAAGCAAATCAGTAATATGTGAAAATATTTGACACTTTATTGTATGATGCATTTGTCTTCATCAGTTTATTAATACAGTACGTTTACATCCAGTGACTTTTTTCCTGAAGACAGTAGAACGTTGAGTTAATACAACAAGAAATAAAAACAATATGATGGTTATAAACATAAACGCAGCCCGTGTGATTTAATAAAGCTGTTAAGACCCGCTTCACGAGATAAATATACAAATAACATCGGATACATCATGTGAGATTCCAGAATCACAGTTTCCCTTTCGTCAAGATTGAAAAGCTTACAATTGGACAGAAAATATAAGCGACAAAAAGGCACTCGAAATAAACCAACAATTAACATGAAGACGACATTTATTTTTGACGTGTCCAGTCTATGCAGCTGGATATTGCACAGGAAGTGGCGGCTCTTAAAACAGGAAGTGACGTCACTTCAAACACGCGCCTCTAGCCGGCAGGAAGACGAGATTTTACATGTGTTTTTTTTACGATGTTCTGGGAATTTACAGTTGTTTTTACGAGGATCTATAATCCCACTGAGAGCTTTGATTCCTGTTGTGTTTATCCGTCTCGAACACAAACCCATCAGGCAAAGGGCAACATGAGGGTCACAGTTACCCAGAAACCCCTTAAAGCTGCACGGAAACTGAAAGTCGAACTCTCCCGTCAGTCGAGTCGAGTCAGAGAAGAAACTGTTACTGACCAGACAGCAGTTTCTACATAAAGAAAACAAAGTCTTTAAGATTTCATTGTATTGTGACATTATTTTCATGGCAATTTAACATTTTAATACAGAGTTAAACACATATCCTTATGTTGTTTATCTTTTTCATGCTGATTTGAATAAATAAACAAATATCAAAAAAGTATTTCTGCGTCCAAACAAGATGATTGTCGTTACTGGAGAGAATGTGATTATTTTGCATTACAGTAATTTGGACAAATCATGCAAAGAAAAATCACACAGTCACACACACACGTGAACATACTCGTAGATGAGCTGAAACAGACACACATGCTCATACAAACTCACAAATACATACACACACTCACAAATACTCACATTTTCATACTCTCGAGTCTCTCTCTCTCTCACACACACACACACGCTCATACAAACTCACACTCACAAGTACACTCACACGCTCATACAAACTCACTCACACACACATACTCTTTCACATACTCATTCTCTCTCACACACACACACACACACACACTCTCATCCACATATATATATTTTACATTTGCTTTTTAATTTTCATGAAAAAAATGTCTCAATACAAAATCTAACTAAGTGTTCTCTTCTGTAGAGCATCTGTGCAATGAAAGACTGGAATGTTAACGCACAAGCGTTCAGTCAGCGATCTGTCCAGTGAAGAACACAGTGTTTTACAAACACACAAACACGACAGATCTCATGCACACCGGACCGCCGTGTGTGAGCGTGTGTTAGCGGGATGGTCTTCAGTGTGTGAAGGGGAGGTTGTACAGCAGCTCCGCGCTCTGACACAGCGCTTTAGGGTTAGCGGTGGAGAAGTACTGACAGCACAGCCAGTCCTCCAGCTCCGCGTTCCTCTCCGGCTCCAGCGAGCGCTCCGCGAACTTCATCATTAGCAGCGCGCGCTTCACGTCCAGCCAGTTCATTAACCCGTCGTGGCGTGGCGGCGCGGCTCTTCCACGTACCCACGGCTGCTCCAGTAGCTCCCGCCGCGGCCCCCACAGCAGAGCCTGCAGGATCCGCTTAGCGTCCTGGATGTGTACGCGGCGCCCTGGGTCCGGCTCCAGTAGCAGGTGCGCTAGCCGCTGCAAACCGGATGAGTATAGCGAAACGCTTGGGATTGGCGGCAAATCCTCGCAGCTGTACTGCTTAGCCGCCGCCGTCGCCTCGAACGGATTCCGCTGATGCAAGAGCTCGTAAATTAAAATCCCGGTTTGAAATTCGTCGAATTTCCGATACTGTGCAGCAGAAACGATTTCCGGCGCTAGTCGCGCATGATCTCGCTTAAAACGCGGATCCCCGCTAATCGCGACCTCGTCTGCGTTCCGACGCTTTGATTTGCGGAAGTTACTGATGAGGAGGCGTGGGAGGCTCTGCTGTTGCGGGTCGACGCGGCGGTGTGTAACTAGCAGAAGGTTCTCCATGCAGATGTCGCGGTGCGTGACGCCGTGCGCTTTGAGATGCTCCAGTGCGGTGCACAGCTGTAGTAGCAAGAAACACACGCGGCGCTCGTACACCTCCGGCTGCGCACGGTGGAACGACTCCCACTCCCGGACGAAATCCGCCACGGTTTGGTGAGGAACCTCGCGCGTTATCACCACCACACGCTCCTGCTCGGAGGGCCCCGCCGCTCGCTCATCGCTAGGTAGCATGCTACGCGGGACGCAGGCTAGGAAGTGACCGCAGTCCTGCTGAAGGCTGAAGTGAGGCGGGACGCTCTGCTGCACCGACAG